AAATTTTAAATCTGTCGATGAAATTCGATGTACATTACGAAGAAACTCTTAAAAATGGAATATCACTAAAACCGAAAAAAAATTCTTTTTCGAAAATTTCGATCGCAAAAATTTTTTCATAAAGACTCATTATTTGGGTTCAATATCATCCTCTATAAGTTTCATCTAGGTCCTATTCTTTGAAGCTGAGATTCAGCATATCGAAAAATCCTGGCTACGTCATTGATACTAAGTCAAAACAACAATCAAATTCACGGTTGGCGGACGAAAAAAGCCTTCAAAGATGCGTCAAAAGACAACAATGACAAAAATAACTGTGTTTGTCATTGTTTTAATGACTAATAGATCATTATTTGCTATCGGAGGTCCTTGAGACTAACTAATAATACTAACTATAATTGTATGAATGCTTAAAACTGTAGCTGTAAAAAAATTATTGAACAAAAGTATCGTAAGACCGAAGTTCTATGAAATTCCGTTATAACACTTTCAACAACATGCTAAAGATATCCTACTTATTTTTTTTTAAAGAAGAAAAAAATTGAAATATGACTCACTGTGATACCCATCTGAAGTTGCCCTTTCAGTGTTTTAACTGTTGAGTTATCTTTAAAATAGAGTATATAAAAATCTGGATGCAAACATTTTAAGTACCTGTTATCCGGGACACTTAATTCGAAACATGTTGGTGAATACAAAAAGACATCTCAGCATTGGATTAAAACGATGAAACTTCGTATCGAATATTACGGCAATTACCTTGAACTTTTTCTATAAACAGATAATCGGAATGTCTTTTTTTATTAATAGTTTTTCGAAAGTGACGGAACCTTTTGACTGACCTGCATACAATGAAATTGAGTTTTAACTAATTCAATAACCACGGAAAATTAATTTAAAAAATAGATTTTTTCAAGATAAGGTCTTCAAATATATTTTCACTAGATTTATTCAAGAGAACCTTCTGGTCAGGAGGAGAATGGTAGTCTTTGAATATGTTCAGAGCTTGATCTCTAATATGTGTTTCTAAAACTTTACGTTTACCTTATACTTGTTTTTTCCTCTTCTAAAGATGAAAATAACTCAATCAGAAATTTTTCAACCCGAATACTAGTGAAATACCTTGGTTTTAATGACCCTAAACCAATGTTTTTCAGCTATACGAAAAATCTCTCTGATTACTATTCTTGGGATATAACAAAAGTATCGGCGAATGTATCTTAATTTCGTATATGTTGCCTGAGTAAATTTTCTTTTTATATAGACTTCTAGTAACGACAAAGCTGGGTATTTCAATACTATTCAATCATTATTCATCTAGTATGATAATAATAAAGTTTCAATAAGATCTATTTTTCTGTGATATATGCCGATTATACTGATGTCTATTTGATATTTTCTGAGTAACTTTTGATGAATACAAGATAAAGAGCTGCAGTTTTCATCTTTCGAACGAGGTAATGAAGATGCATCAAGTCATATATTATAGGTTTACTGACATGATCTTTTTAAAGGTTTCCAATCAACTTCTTTGAAAAAAACTACCTATTAGATGTCTACAGTGAATTCTGCATTATCAGGTATATACTCAAACCACCGATGGATGATCTACAAAATTGCACAAGGTTCAGAAATTTAGAACTAATTATTCAGAACTTATAGGTATTCTAGCCGAAGCCGTAAGTGATTTTTCTGGTGATTCCCGTAAAAAAGTTTTCTGCTATTTCATTTCTGATATGTAAAAACAGTTTCCCAACATTTAGAATCTTGATTAAACAAACATCAGACAACACAACAGGAAAACCATAATGTATGACTCGATGAATCTTCATCACCTCTCTCAAACGATCGAAATTGCAACTCTGTATCTTGTTTCTGCCAAAAGTTATTTAGTAAATATCAACTAGATATTAGAGTAACCGACATATATTATAGAAAAAGAGATCTTATCAAAATTTTATTATTACGATATTAAATGAATAAGGATCAAATAGTATAGACATGCAGGGCTTTGTTTTTACTACAAGTTTATATAAAAAGAAAATCTCTTCAAACGTTCTGTACGAAATTGAGATACCTCCACCACTACTTTTGATATGTCCTGAGTATGTGTTGCCAAATCGACTATAATCGATAAAAAAATTATCATACACTATTCCTTCATTTTTAGGTAATGGTCAATTAAAATCGATTCTAACTAAAAATTGCAAACCGAACTCGAACCCGAGCCCGAACCTCGAACCGTTCGGTCCGAACTCCGAACTCTAGTTCGGGTTTGCTGCATGTCTAATAGTATCCACACCAATACCCAGACTCACATCCCACACCCATACCCACCCACACATACTCACATATACCCACACATACCCACACCCACACTCACACCCACACCCACACCCACATCCTACACCCAGCCCTCATACACACCCCACACCCACACCCAGCCACAGTCACACCCACACGTTTGCTTTCTCTTTCGCATCCATTACACATACTGCAGTAAAACGGCACTTATGACTATTTGCATACGTGGCATCGGTTTGTATGACGAAAATTGACTTCCACTTTCAGCCTAAAAAGATCAAACGTAATAAGCTCATCCATGTCCTAAAAACCTTCGTAATAAGTTGCTTATCGACCTTGACGCATACGCATGGAGTTTTACATCAGACTGCAGCGGCTTGTGAAAGGTTTACATTGCCTATTCAAATGAAAATATTGAAGTGCACTTTTTTCTTCGCCTCTTTGCCCATAATGGCGTAAAACAAGTTTGATGAAAACAGTGAATGGTGCGCTTTTACCTGTCTGAGCGAAATGTTGAAGAGCACATTGCTATTCAGCTGTTCTTTAAGAGTACTTCCCTCTTATGTGAAACACGATCTGAAAGGTGTGTTCAAGTATATAGGGTAGAAATTTGCATCCATCCCTCCCTCTACAGACAGTGACAGACACTCACGTGACTCATCACAGACCGTAACAGACACCCTTCACGGATCGTCACAGCGGCTAATAGCCGCCTTCAAGAGACTATCAGATGTTATGTATAAGCAACATCTAATTGGAGTATTCATGGAGTATGTCCTTTATGAAGTTCCACTCTCTAAATTAAGCAATGCTGATGGGATATGCCCAATATACGTAAAAAAGAGCAGTTTTAGAGAATTAGTAACAATAGGTATATCGTGTTTCACATTTTAATCCCCAGGGATTGCGCTATTTTAACAAAAAGTAAAATTTTGATTTAGTTACACACGATGATAGCCTAAAGATTTTTATCCATTTTAAGATCTCTCCGGACTATAGCTAAGGTACCATTTAGGAGATATCGAGCTTTTACTAAAACTCGTCAGAAATGCAATCCTTTGTGGTTATGTTTAAAACCTGTCTTGAATATGAAAGATTAAGGTCTGAAACATAGTCACTCGTGTAGAGCAGATCAAGCTGCACAAGAATATATGTTTGTTAATGAAAACAAATACTCCTATCAATTAATAAAAGACGCGGAAGTGGGAGTGTGGATAGGTGTGTGGGATGCAGATGAAGATATACTCTTCACCCGAACCCACACCTACACTTACACTCACACACCTTACCTACCACCACACTTACACCCACGCCCACACCCACATCCATACTCACACTCACACCCTTCATTAGTGGTTGGTTTTTTCCAATTTAAAAAGAAAAGTAGCACGGAATTAACATTCGCATGAAGTGATGCTGAATCAATACATGTTAATTACCATGCTTTACGAAAAAGTTTTAAAACTATAAGTCAGAAAATTACATATGATATGGAGAATATAGTATACTTGTAATGCCTGCAAAGGACGAGGTGCCAATCATAGATCATTTTAATATGCATATCAGCATAGACTGTATACCGAAAGAGGAAGAGAAGGGATTATATCAGGGTGTGGGAGTAGGTGTGAGTGTGAGGAGTAGGTATGGGTGGGGGTATGCTGTGTTGGTGCGGGTGTGGGTGTGGGTATGAGTGCGTCTCTTCTTCACATCCTCCTCCATATTCACACCCACACTCCTCCTAGTGGACTCTGTAGACCCTTGTAGACCCTGGTGGATACTAATAAACTTATTATAATTATATACATATATTTCTATAAATATATATGTATATGTAGTATAGAAATTTTGAGTTATTGTGTAATTCATTTGCGTCATGAACTCAGACAGCATGAACGATTTCAAGCTGGATCTTAGCCCAGTTGTTGGCTATACCAATGAGCCATTGCTGCCACTTGTCAAGGCATGTGCTCCACTGTCGAATATTCTCTACAATTTATCGAAATATGTTGAATTGGCACTCGACGAAACTCCAGAAGAGCCATCCGATGGACTAACAATCGATGAGAGTGCTGCAATTCGACTTTATACACTAGAATGGGAACGACCACATCAAAGTCTCTATTCGATGCTCAATTATACGTTGAAGATGGCCAATCGTGAAGATCTTCGACCTTATTTTAAATATCTCAAACTGTTCTTGACTGCTCTTGCCAAACTACCATGTGTTCCACCTCTGACTGTTTGGCGAGGAGTGACCAAGAATTTGAGTGAAGAGTTTCCATCTGGTACCATCGTGACATGGTGGACATTTTCATCAACAACAACTTCACTGACTGTGCTCAAAAACAGTATATTTTTGGGCAATACAGGAGAGCGAACACTCTTCTCTGTCGAAACAATCAATGGTCGAACAATACGAGCACATTCACATTTTGTCACCGAAGATGAAATTCTTCTTCTGCCTGGCACTCACATGATAGTTCAATCTCAATTGAATCCAGCTCCTGATCTTTATATTGTTCATTTGAAACAAGTCGAACCAGAAGAAATATTACTCGAACCACCTTTCGAAGGTATTCGAAATATGTTCAATAGATGTGTTTTGAATCGAACTATTTTTATCTTTCTTTAGGTGCACATCTTTATCCAGTAGTTAAGTAAGGATGATCTCATATTAATCTGACTCTATTTTTGATGAGATTTTTTTTCATATGATTTACCAGACGACCATGGTATCGGAAGAAGCGATACATCCTTCCAATGTGTTTCTTGACGACTATGTGCATTATAGCAGCCATTATTGGCTCTATTATCGGAACCAAATATTCCGGCAACAAGAAAGGTAGATTTTTGATGATGTTTGGCACTTAAGACGAGTGATACCTTCGAGACGAGACCTGTTTGAACTTTATCATACGTGAAAATACACTGTCGAAAAGGCACAGCATATGAAAGCCGTTAGAAGTGATGAAGGATTTCTAAGGATGAAAAGAATCTATGAATTGAGAAGAAAGGTCGACGAATCTAGGATGGTTTCAAAAGTGTTCATTCTACTATCAGAATAATAGAAGTGTGAATGAATTGAGCCGTAAAGATCTAGATATTAGTCTATCGTTTTCATAAAACTGTTGATTATTTTCAATATATTTCAGTTCATAAAGAACATGGAAAAAAAAAACTGATTTCTTTTTGAAAACATGATCAATAATGATTGCGAAAATATATAGCAGGTGGGATGATGTCATTCTGTAGAAATTTCACAGATACATAACACATAGTTGCACATTTGTTGATCTTGTAACAATTTGTGATAAAAAGCATGGTATGTAATAAGAGTTCCGGTGTACAGACGCAGTTCTTCGTGCTCGTAAAAAGTTTAAAGAGTCGAAAGTTATTCGAAGTTTTTTTCCTATTCTCTAGGTCGAATGTTAGTGAGTGAAGAAAGAAAGAAAGTCGAAAAACGAACTCGAAATAATTAATCGAGAAATATGACTTTCTTGAACTGATCATTAATACTTGGTCTTGTCTTCTATTTATTGTTCGATTCAGGAGAGAAAGAAAGTTACTAAAGATTAAATTTAACTTTCATCTTGTATTTGAAGAAAAACACATAAAAACTGTTGTCAGATTATTTTGAAAGATTTTTGAACAACAGAAAATCTATTGATTGTAATTGTACATCCAATCATCGATGTAATAGGTACGAAAATGAATAATTAGCAAAATATCAATATTCTTACAGCAGTAGGATACTGAGCGGTAGAACCCATCGGATCCATGAATTTCTGGACCCGGATCCGACTGATTAAAAATTTTTGGACCCGAACTCTACCCGGACCCGGTGAATTTAATTTTTCTGGGCCTGGATCCAGACTCAGACCCAGTCGATCAAGATTTTCAGACTCGGATCTGATCGATCATTTTTTTGTGGGTCCGGACTTGAATCATACTCTTATTCCTCTCCATAAAATTTTCTAATCTGATTTTGACTGTCGCTCCGAAGATACGATATACTTTTCACTTTTTTTGTTACATGACTAGTATACGTAGGGCTCTCAATTCATAGTTACTTTCAACTTAATTCATGTGTAAATTAAATTATCAGTAATTTATATTTAAAATAAATATAAATATGTTGTTTTCATAATTTATATTTATTGCTAAATATAAATAAATTTTCTTTGATAATTTATATTGAAAAATAAACATAAATGATCATACATTATCTCTATTTTAAATATGAATAATGATTATTTATATTTATTTTGAAATATAAATCATGAAAAATAAAATACTTATGTTAGTTTTAAATATAAATTATCGATAATTTATATTTATTCTAAATTGACAGGAAAATGACACCCTAAGCATACTTTACATATTCTTTAAACGATCCGATAGTGATCCCATAATAACTAAGTTACAATTAGTGCTTACTCCTATTCAATAGTTCCTAATAAAAGAATAAATGTATGCATTATACAGGCTTTATACTATTTCTTCTATTCGACAACCATTCCATTATCAATAATACTTTGCTTTGTACCGAATCATATATACATGAAAAAATAATATACGATGAATTTTTTCTCAAGAAGAAACTTGTCCACTTACAAGGGAACATTCCCAGGTGCCAGAGCG